GAGAGAGAGAGAGAGAGAGAGAGAGACTATTTAATTATTAATGGATTTAAAAATAATTGTATTAGGCTAACTTAAAAACTATTAACATTTATAATAACTATAAAATCTACTTATTTTGTGAAAATTGTTTTATTGAATAACAAATATTTCAATACATTTTATAAGCATGCATAAATTTCTTAAAACAATAACATTAGATGAGTTGAACTTACAAAACAAATACCAATAACTTTGAACACAAAGAAATATATTACAAAAATACATAACAATTCATGTTATTCTCATCCCACATATAATATACAAAAAAAAGTAAAACTATAATACATTTTGTCATTCAGTCGAGCATTTGATGTTTGGCTGAGTTTTTATATCATAAATTGGTTTTTATTTATTTAAATGGAAAAACCTTTTTATATTGTTTTTGTTTATTTTTAGCCAAAATAGAGATTCTTATTATACTATAACAAAATATTAAATAAATTTAGTTAATTAAAAATTTTAGTATATTATCTATTTTAGAATAAATTCAAAAAGTTTTATATTCATTTACATTTGTGTTAACATTATAATTGTTAATTTTATTATAAATTAAATCTAATTTTATATATATTTTTTATGAGACATTTGTGTTAAAAAATGTTTTCTAAATATTAAATTTACTAATAATTATAACTCTAACTACAGATAATTTGCTAAATAAGCTAGCTAAAAATTATCTAATATAAGTTAGTGGATCATTTACTACACATGATTTAGTAAGCTGTTATTTTAAGTTTATGAACACTTAGCTATAACATTTATTTATTAAATTGAGATTTATAAATATTGTATAAAACACGCACCACTCTAATGTTAAAAACATTTATAAAATATTATATTTTTCACAAAAATTATTTTTATGCTATATTTCGTGGAAAGTCGGATATAAATCCTGGCTGAGATTGTTGTTTACACACTATTTATTAATATTAATACTTCATATAAACTGGTATACTTTATGTGAATGTAATATACTGGCTATATTTTACTAGGTACATATACTGTAATAGGATTATTATAGCGATTCCGTGTTATTAATGGCAAAATATTATGACTGTCCGACAAATAGTAGAGATCAGCGCTTAATATAGTATTATATCTCATAATATTCTGTATATTCTGTAACACTATATATAAACTATACTAACAAATAATGATTAGATAATTCTGTGCGGAATCTCTCATAATTCCTATACTTATAACACCAATAACTCCTAACCATATATTAGTAACACGATATTTAACACTGATAATTTTAATTATGATTAGATTGTACCTGGTAATTTTGTATACTAATACTTACGGTATCTCTCGATCACGTGACACTCGCACCGGAGCACGGAGTACAGGGTGCGACGGAAAATGCGATTAAATCCGCCGTAAATAACAGGGTTTAGCGCGGAGTTAGTGTACGCTATGAACGTACTCATGTAGGATAGGGTGGAAAACCATTCCGGCAACTATTGGTGTAAATATAATTTGTTATACACATTAGTTTTATGACTTTATTTTGCTGGCTATTAATAAATGTGTATGAAAGTGGTTGGTGATATAGTGGTTGTTACAAATAGTTGGCGGGTAAACATGTTTGCTTGCTATATTTATATTGTGTTTAAGATTGTAATTAGATGTAGTGGTTGTAGTAAATATAGTATCTAGATTAAATATAAGAATATTCTGTGATTTTTATTGTTTTTTATTTATGGTATCCAGGGAATATGATATTGAGTACAGAATATTCATATATTTCTCTATTTTATTGATTTCTTAGGATGAGAGGGAAGGGTAGTTAGGAAAGGGAGGGGAAATGGAGGGGAACGGGAGGGGAAATAAGTGTGTCGAGCATTACATACCTCTCCGGAATCGTTAGCCGAGTGTCCGAACAGGGAATACAAGACAATGATCTGCAATGGCATCCAACAGATGATGAAACACAACAGCACCAGACATACCATTTTCACGACCTACCAGTCCACACGAACAAGTAGTTTGACATTAATTATGGTGGAAAAGTATGATACAGCGTATAATAGTAAGTTATATAGTTATTCACAAAAGCTTTTCACCTAATTTAATTAGTCTATTGTTAATGATGTAAATGTAAAGTAAACTTAACTTTTATCTAATTATTATTAATTAGTGCCAAAAAACTAGGTTTTCATCTATTATTATAAAGTTTTTGATTTTGTTTACTCGAAAGTGATTAAATCGTTAATTAAATGTCATTGTTTGCTAGATAATAGATTTATTTTATAATAATAAGTATACTATATTTTATTTGATATACAAAACTCATAGTAGATACTCACATTTAAGCTAAATTTTTAATAACTATTGTTTTTAATTAATAACAAGGACATTTTTTTATAAGTTAACATTTAGATTTTAGATGTATATTAAATGTGTAATAATTTTGAAAAATATTTATTCATTTCATTGAAAATACAGTAATGCATTTGTGGCATATTACTAAATTGCATAAAACCTACACAATAAATAAAAACTAAAACAATTTGTGCATTAAATAAATTGCACCAAAATTGTCTATATTTATTAATTTGAAATAAAAAACAATAAACATCCACTTATACTAAGTATGTGTTAAAATTGATTATTTAGTAAATCTTTTATAAATTATTATTTTATCATTAAATAACAATCAACTTGTTATTTTTATAAACATTTACAATTTTAAAAAAATATTATAGACTGCTCGTTAGTGAATAATACATTATAGCTACTTGTTTTAATTATATACCATAATATAGTAATTATACAAATATTATTAATTAGTGCAACATAATTTTTCTGGCGTATAATAATTATGTATCTGCCTAAACAAGTGTCTAGTTTAAAAATCTTTATTATTTTTTAATTTAGCATAATCAATCACTATTATGACATATATTTAAGTTAACTCCCAGGTTCATTAGAAATTAATTAAGAAATTCTTAAACATAGAAATAGCTTCTAGCTACCAATAATTGTTTACAAATGTACCCACATAAATAAACAATCCCACTCACATTTGAAATGGTTCATTAATAATTACTTAGCATGATTAAAATAATGTGGGCATTAATAATCCCGGATTATAATGTTCTTGAATCTAAATCATTGCTAATAATTATTTTTAAAACAATAATAAGATTACCAATGTCTATTTTTAAAATGTTAAGCTATTATTCGTATTCACAATCTTAAGTTTAAATTAAGCATTAGTATAATAACCTGCACATTTGGTTAATCTAGATATGTTTAACATGTACATACTTAATCTAAAAGTTCATTTTCAAAAAATTATCAAGCTAACCTTTTTCTTGGAGCAATTCTGTGCCCTCTGTGTATTGGTAATAAGTTCCCCTGGTGCTTTGTGGACCCATAAGCGCCATATGATTAGCGAATAGGCGGTGACCATAACGAGCACCGGTACGAAAAACAGAGTAACGGTGACCAACGAGTAGTACAGCTTTTTGAAGGGATACGAGTGAACACAAGTGCCGCTGATTGCAGAATATTCTGTGATTACGGGCCAACTCTCCGTACAACTCGTCTCCACAAAGTCTTTCCACTGGAAGTCATAATTTATTTTTCAAAATATTTTTTATTTTAATTATTAATTTTATATATAATTAATGATTAATTTATTGATAACAATTAAGTTTTTGATATTAGTTATAGTTTATGTATATTATCTGAAATAATCTGGATACATAATTATAAATTATATATATCTGTGAAAGCAATGCAAAAAGTGTATTATAAAAATTCTTTAATCTTTAATATTATTTATATGTAAAGATTAAAGATTAAATAATTTTACTGATACACTTTTGGCATTGCTTTTCAAATATATATATCTGGAAGGCCAGAATGAGACGTACCTCTGAAAAATTGCTTTTATTTCTTCTTGAAACATTGCTTTTATGTAAAGTTTAAAATTTATAAGGTTTAATATAAGTAAATTTCAAACTTTACATAAAAGCAATGTTTCAAGAAGAAATAAAAGCAACTTTTCAGAGGTACGTCTCATTCTGGCCNGGCCAGAATGAGACGTACCTCTGAAAAATTGCTTTTATTTCTTCTTGAAACATTGCTTTTATGTAAAGTTTAAAATTTATAAGGTTTAATATAAGTAAATTTCAAACTTTACACAAAAGCAATGTTTCAAGAAGAAATAAAAGCAATTTTTCAGAGGTACGTCTCATTCTGGCCGAACAGATATAATTTTTTCATTATTTTATACTTTAATATGCTAATACTTAATATTTATAATAATCAGCATATTATTTAATTATTTACAATCTAGTGAGTTCATATGTTAAATATAACATTTGCTAACAATATAACAACAATTAATTAGCAGCTTAGTGATTTAAGACTTTTCAAATGAAATAATTTAAAAATAAAAGTATTTCATAAAACTAATCTAGATTACTGTAATATTTAAATCTAAATTCTCAGAATTGTCACAATTATAAACATATTAATTTATTATTCATAAATTAAATAAGTATAAAATTAATTGTTCCGTATAAGTCTAGGTTACCACTGTACAAGTAACACTCTAGCATTAGGATTAATACTAATTTGATAATATCTTGCTAATAATTGCAACTATAATATTACCATCAAAAGGC